GTGCTCCGTGGAAACTTGCTCAACGGTGAGTTGATAAGGCGGTGAGGGGCCTGTGACCGTGGAAGGATCTGGCTTGGAACTGATATCACCTGGATGATCGACAAGAGTCGGGTCGGTAGAGACTGTAGCAGTGCGAGATGGAAGTCCGGGCATATCTCAGGTAGAGGGTGGGTAATCGACTTGGTAGAGAGAGGCTGTGGAGGAAAAGGGGGAGCGTGTCGAGGTCGCGAGCTTGGATCCGTGCGAGTCTTATTGAGGATCGCAGAGAGCTGCCTAAGGCTTGGCATTCCGAAGCCATGCTTGGGAGGCACAAACGTTCGCTTGTGGTTTACCATATTCGGAGTAAGCGTATGACGAGCGCACTGCACTGCATCTTAACGCAAACCAAGGCCTTCATCTAGATCCTTGGCGCGGAGGAGTTGTGGAGCTCCGCGGAGTGCGGAACTAGTGCGCAGCCTTCCGCCTCCGTTATGCGGAGGCTACCACCTCAGGCAAGATAATCCCTATTGATAATGTCTGCGTCAGCGAGCGTAATTCTTCCGAGGAAACATACATAGTTGGCACAAAGTGAGCAGCGCTGAGGTGGCACGAGCGCTACGCATGCCGGCCGGGCATGATTCTGTCTGCAGAGAATTGTCTCCGAAGATAGGATCATGCCAGGAAGACAATCCGGGTGCCAAGAGGAGTAGATTGGAGCGGTGTCCAGACTGTGGAAGTCTTCGTCAGGGGCTACCGCTCCCCCGACCGCTTGTCAAGTTACCGGCACCGTTTATCGTTTACGTGCCTAAGCCGGACAACCATGAGGAGCACATGAAACCAGAAGTAACCTTAGATATGGCATATCAAACGCAGCACGCGCGAATAGTGTTCGAAATGTGAGGGATGCATGCACGGGATGCTAGGTAGTCCGAGCTCAAGTTTGCCGACGTTGCCCTTGCCGACTCCCGGGCGGTTACGATTGTGCCAAACAGGGATCAACAGCAGCCACAGTGTCAGGCGCCTGAGCTTCAAGTTCTTGACCAAGACCAGACACAACACGATCGCCGATTGATACTCTGTTGAATGAATGCTCTGCGAACACGTTCATCATCACAAGTCCTGATATCTTGGTCATTTGGTTAGGTACACAGAATGACATGAGGTCTCGTCGAATATGGCTACCGCAGGTCTACATCCTCACGCTCAGGCCATACAGTGACAGCGTGATATCGCAGCACATACACGAGCCGCCATCCGATGAATTCCCAGCTCTCATTTGGCATATTAGGGAGCCGGTCAGTTGAATTGGGCGCTCTCGGCCATTCTTGCAGCGGAAGATGGCAACTGTATTCTCGCGTTTGCTCGGGTCGGCGCGATGAGCAGGTTTTGGCGCCACACGTAAATGGTGTGCTACGGTAGGACGTCTCGACGATATTCCATCCTTCTGCACGGGACAAATATCCCATCCTCTACTCCTGCCCATACGATACCGCTATGCTGTTCGCCATACGTGAGTGACCCTATCTCCATGGCCTGGTCTATATGCTGAACATGCCATGCATTAAATGTTACAACAGCTGCTGCTATGACCATCGCGAAGGTCGCAGGCGGCGCCGCTCTCGTCGCCGTGTCGGCCCCCGTCCTAGCCACGACGGGCGCCGCGGTCGTCCTCCCCGCTGTCGGATTCACCGCTTCAGGCGTCGCTGCTGGTACGTACAGATCCGACCCATTCCTGACCCGTGGAATCTGATGCGCCGATATGGTCTAAAGGCAGCGTCGCCGCCGCCGCCCAGTCCGCGGTCTATGGCGCCTTCACATGCGGCGTTTTCTCGGGCCTTCAGGCTGCGGGAGCGACTGTTGCTGCACCGGGCATCCTCAGCGTAGCGGGCGCCGTTGGAGGCGCCGCGCTCGGTGGAGCATTGATAGGCATGTAGTCTCGTCGACAAGGACCGGCGCGGTACCCCGGGTAGGGCTGTCCCTCGATCTTCCGCGTTTGCCAGATGCTGACTCTGCGGTCACTAACAGTGTGCGTGTCACGCCACCATGCAAACGAATGTCGAATTGAAGGTCGAGTTCGAGTTTGGGTCAGATTCTACACGTCCCAGTATGTTCCGTTGTTTCAGTAACTATGCAAGATGCTTCTCGTGCGAACTTGGCACCGTATCTAGCCGGCTGCCAGTCCGCACAACATCGCAGGCCCTTCAGGGGTGAAGAGGTGTCATGTATGAATCCAGGCTCTCAAATAGCCTTCTGTGAATCGAGCTCAAGTTTGCCAACGACGCCGTTGGCCGAGCGATTGCCCTGTGGCAAACAAACATCAACAGCAGACAGGCGCTTCCCATCACCTTTTCACCCGAACCACAACCTCGACCGACTGCAAATGCATGTACGCTGGTCGCCACGCTTTCGGAACTACCCGCACTGAGTACTGAGTTCTTGTCGAGATGAAATGTGCCAGACTCTGGGCTGAGCCATGCGCCTGTCAGACTACTAGTATTGGTGTACAGGCTTCTAAACTCGTCGTGATGGGCTACCACAGCCTGTCGGAGCGCAATCATGGGCCATGAAGTACCAGCGCGGATGTGATGTCCTAGCAAACCGGTCTGTTTGCGCCGACATCATGATACACGCGTTGCGGTGAGTGTGGCCTTAATGCTGGATGGTCGTTCTATACCAGGCTTTACCGCCGGACACTGGCTTCTTCGCCGCACGAGTACGACGTGACAGGATTCGGCCCGATGCAATTTCAGTATATAAGATCTCTCTCCCCCGCTCCCACATCCCACACCCGCAATTGTCCCCCTTTCCCTTTCCCTGCCCATACCAGACGGCCATGACGCTTAGGTCGTGAGTCCCCCCGTCTACACCGCCCAGCTCACAACACGTCTCATACCTCTATCCCAGCCTCGTTTTCAAGTTTACGAAGATTGTAGGCGGTATCGGTCTGATGGCCTTGTCCGCTCCAGTCCTCGCCACCATGTTTCTCCCCGTTCTTGGATTCACCGTGGAAGGCGTTGCTGCAGGTACGTGCAGATTTCTCCTCTACCCTGCATACGCACGATATCTGACCCCCAGATATATTATTTAGGCAGTGTGGCTGCCGCCGCGCAGTCTGCGTTCTATGGCGCCTCGACATGCGGAGTCTTCTCTGTACTTCAGGCTGCTGGCGCGACAGCTGTTGCACCGGGATTTTTCGGTGTCGTAGCAGCCATTTCAGGTTTCTTACTCGGTGTAAAGTTGTTTCGGGCGTAGTTGTCGTTACAGGATCACACGTTGCGCACTCGCTGAACTGAGCATTCTTGAAGATAATTGTCGACCATTTCTCAGAATCTAGCTGTCGAAGGACTCGAAGCCAAGCCGAGAAATTTCTCGCGCGATTGTGTGCATCCCGCTGGCAGAAGGTACCATGTATGAAGCCAGCTCAAGTGCTCCGCCGATAGCTGCGGTAGGTGAAACGAAAGATATCCGGTTCTACCGCAGCAACATGGTTTCGATACGGCATCGTCTGACACGAATTCGGAGCAGTCCTTTTGGATCGATCCACACACGCCGAGTCTGCGTGCCGTGCGCCGAAGAAGCCTCTGTGGTCTCATGCTGGCCGCGTTGTAGGTCGCCAGACGCCGTCGTACTTGTCTCCCACCTACCACCATACGACGGGTCGCCACACTCTCGTATCGACTCTATCAGCTAGCTCAAGCATCATCTACATCATCATGGTCGTCCTGTGCCCTTGTGAGTCTTCGCACTTCCGAAAAGGCTACACAGCTAACGCACCCCGCCATGTCTCAAGCCAAAGACTCGCCAAGCGACCAAGGCGAGCCCCAAGAGGTCACGACTAGTTCTGACCACACTAAGAAATCAGGTATGCCCCACTGTATCCCGTTGGTTGAATGATCCATTGAAGGAACAATAGACACGAACGCGAAGGGGAAACAGCGGGATCCCTCCCCGCCCTCCGACGATGATTCCCCGGCAGGTATGCATGACATGACCCATCGCGACGTACGGCTCACCTCCTGATTGCTCGCCAGACCCTCCTCCGCCTTACACAAGAGACCCTCACGGCGTACCACCACACCCGACGTGCACTTGTCCCCGCGCAGAGGATCGCCCTGATCAGGCTGAACAGCCCGATGCCTTGGGCCCGGACAACAACGATGCGGAATCTTCGGAGGGATCTAGCGGGGCGAAAATAGCCAAAGTAGCCGCAGGCGTAGCCCTCGTCGGCGTGGCTGCCCCCGTGCTCGCGGTTGCCGGTGCCGCCATCGCGCTCCCCGCTATTGGGTTCGGTACGGGCGGCGTCATCGGAGGTACGCCCACATGATCCTGACCGCACTCGGACTCTTGATGCTTACGCAGGCTCATATGGCACTACAGGAAGCCTTGCCGCGACGATTCAGTCAGTGGTCTACGGAGGCACCACATGCGGCCTCTTCTCGATCTTCCAGTCAGTAGGCGCGACCATCGTAGCGCCTTCGATCGCGTCATCCGTGGTTGCAGCCACGTCTGCAGGGGCCGGAGGGCTCCTCGTGGCTTCTGCAGCCGGAGACGAGTCCGAGACTCAGAACAATGCCCCGACCAACGGAGGGGGAGCGGGCGCCGCTATGGATCCGGTCGACTGTCGGTGCGTCGCTTGCGTTTGTGACACGGATTGCAACTGCCAGTGTCGACGCCGCGGCGGAGAAAGAGAATGAGTAGTGGGCCGACCTATAACTTGATCATTTCATGACACGAATGGAAGCTCGTGGGCCGTGTGTGTACTTGTACTAGCTATCAACTTAGGTTGTCGAATGCATCGGGATTCATGCTGCCTTGTATGTTCAATCGAAATGCCAGATGCAGGTCACATTCTTCGTTCCGCTCTCCAAAGTCTTAGACCGTCCCAAAATGTTGTAGTCACGCTGTCTGTGAGCACTAAACTGTGCCGGTCTGCAAAAGCTCTTCGCGTATGGAAAGCAAAACATGTGCCACAATTTCCGGTTCAACTTCGAGTAACTTGTGGGGAAATCACGTTCTGAAAATGAGTCGGCCCAGGTTCGAACTGAGGACCTTCTGCGTGTTAGACAGATGCGATAACCAACTACGCCACCGACCCATAATCTACGTCGCCTTATATACTTTAAGATGGCAAAGATAAGTCCCACCGAGCTTGTCGGACCGCCCACGATTGAGCTTCATGATGGCTCTGAACAGTTCTAGTGCAGTTCGTGACATGCTATCGGTAGCTTACGGGCCCGAAGATGATGCAAACTTGGTCTTGGCCATGCTTTGCCATCGTAGCAGGCACCAGGCACGCCCAGCTGCGTCCGCGATCCTATGTCTGGGGTTGGGGGATTGAATTGACAAATTACCGGGCGACGTTTACATATATCACACAATGCTGCGAGCGCACAGCGAGTTGGGAAACCTCAGATTGGGATGTGGAAGGGAAAGGGCAGGAAAGGAGTCGAATAGAAGGGAGGTAATTGAGAGTTGCCTTGTATGGCGGGCCGGGTGTGCCTGGACGGATGGGCGGCGCGGGGGAGCGCGATGAGCACTGGCTTCAGCCCGGCTTGCTCATCGCTCTCACTCGTCCTCTCCTCCTCCCTCCTCCTCCGCCGCTCCTCGTTCTGGACGCCTTTCCGCCCGCCGGCCAGCTCAAGACGCAGCTCTTGGGGACTCAGCATGGCCATTGGAAAATGGATCTCGTTCGGAACAAGTCAAGCTCCCGCCACCCCCGTCCCTGTCGTCGTACCTCAGGTTCCCATCGTCTCCGCTGCGGATGCGAAGCTGTTTGGTCTCGAGAATGTACGTGACGGTCTGCTTTGGTTGAGAATTGCGCTGACAGTCTGTAGTTTGGCAATACTTGGTGAGTGTCCGTTCGTTTACCCCTCGCACTTGGCTCGCAATACCCCTCAAAACGGATCGTTCGTATGAGGTCGTCGAGGGAGCACTCCCTTCCTTTCGCCAATCGGTGGGGAGGACGTTTGAGATTCAGTCTCTCCACGACGCATCCGAGTTGAGCCCTATGAGTCTCTGGAATTCGCTATCCGCAGCTCAGAATGGTCGCCCTTGCCACATATCCCAACCTCCTCCACGCACCGGCACCTCGGTCTTACTGCCCGGTAGTCGCATCGTGAAGGGTCATTCGCCTGCGCTCGTCAATATTACCGGTCCATCTCCACATGCGTGGATCTCCCTCCAGGCGGATCCCGTATTCTCGCAAGGTCGCATGTCCGGATCCTGCCCCTCGTTTGCCTGCTCGTCCCGAACGTCCTACTCAATTATGTTCTCTCGCATGAGCGACCAATCTCCCGCCGTCTGCGCGGACGCGGGAACTCATTGACTTGGGGCCCAGCGGTGCTGCGTTCGCTGAAGTCACCCGTGGAGAGAGTTCCAAGCGCGACCCCGTTGACCCCTACGATCGCGCTTGGCAAATTCGTTGCTCACGCACCTGTCCCAACGCGCAGCGGCCCGTCGCTCTCACCGCCCCCAAATCGCATCGTCACGAGTCATCCGCCTGCGCTCTCCAGTCTTGTTACGGTACCATCCCCATCTCCATATTTCGCGCAACATCCTGGTATCTGGCTGGGGTGGCCAATAAGTCTCCGCGCGCTCTCTGGACGTTTTCAAGCGGGCGAGTGGAAGTCATATGCTTGGAGCGTCGACATGGCTGAGACTGGGGGCATCGGCGCTATCACCGAAAGCACGGGTCCCTGCTGCACCAGTGGCGAGCGAAGGCTGCCTATGGCCCACCCTATCGTCCAAGAACGTCACGCGTTGGGTCAAAGGCGTTGTATAGGGTCCTAGTTCTGATTTCGATTGCTCTAACCGTCCGTCTTCTGCACATATGCTGACCTGATTTCACCAGTTACGCCAACTCGGTCTTGCAAGCCCTGTACTTCTGCGGTCCATTTCGCGAACTTCTCCTTCAATATCCCGACCCCTCTGTTCCGGAGGTTCCTCCGCTCCCTACTGCCCCTCCTGCTCCTGTTCCTCCAACACCACAACCCCCGTCACGCAAGAAGCCCAACCGCCAGAATTCCATATCCGAACCGCCCCCACTGAAACCCAATGCTCCTCCCGTGATCCCGATCCCTCCTTCTCCCCCAACGTTGCTGTCTGCGCTCCGATCGCTCTTCCTGCACATAAGCCGAAACCCGGCCGACAAGGGCACAGTCGCGCCCCGCGCGTTCATCGACAAGCTCAAAGAGCTGAACGAGCTGTTCCGCAGCTCCATGCACCAAGACGCGCACGAGTTCCTCAACTACCTGCTGAATAGGGTTATGGAGGACATGGAGGAGGACGGGCGGAAGCTCGAGTCAGCTGCGAATGGAACGGGCAAATCTGGCGAGGACTGTGAGTACATGTTCCTGGCGACCGTCTTCTTCCTCTCACCATCATCCAAGTGTCAAACTCTTTCGCGACGCTCTCCACGCAGCCTGCGGCCTCCACGTCGACGACACAGGCCATGGCGTACCATTCGACCATCGTCCACCGACTATTCGAGGGCGTCCTCACGAGCGAGACGCGCTGTCTGACATGCGAGACCGTGTCGTCGCGCGACGAGTCGTTTATCGACCTCTCGATCGACATCGAGCAGAACTCGTCCGTGACTGCGTGTCTACGGCAATTCAGCGCGAGCGAGATGCTCTGTCAGAAGAACAAGTTCTTCTGCGACTCGTGTTGCGACCTGCAGGAGGCGGAGAAGAGGTATGCATGTGCATCCACGGGGCCTGAATGACCGCGCTGACACGCTGTCAGGATGAAGATCAAGAAGCTGCCAAATATCCTCGCGCTGCACCTGAAGCGCTTCAAGTACCAGGAGGACGTCGGGAAGTACATCAAGCTTGCGTACCGCGTCGCATTTCCCCTCGAGCTCCGGCTGTTCAACACCGTGGATGATGCCGAAGACCCCGACAGACTCTACGAACTGTTTGCCATAGTGGTGCATATCGGAACGTGCGTACTTCTCATCTTATCTCAGCCACCGCGTCGGGTTCTCATGCACGTTGACTAGCGGACCTCACCATGGACACTACGTGACCATTATCAAGGCGCGCGGTGCCTGGATGCTATTCGACGATGACACTGTCACTACGATTAAGGAGTCCGAGATTCCAAAGTACTTTGGCGACTCGAACAGCGGTTCTGCCTATGTGCTGTACTACCAGGCCGTCGACCTTGACCTTTCCTCTCTTGGCCTCAAGCCTCCTACCCCTCCGCCAGCATCGACGGTCGCGACAGACGTTGGGTCCGAGCCGGGTAAGACGGTCAGTCTCGCCACAGCCGATGGGATCGAAGTTCCTGCATCGCCCACGCCCGCCGTCCCTCCAGGACTCGTGGATGAGGTCGAGTACTCTGACAAGAGCGATTCGCCCGCACACGCCACGCCTGCCTCTGCTTCACCGCTCAATACCCCGAGGCCGCCATCAGTACCCTCTCCACCCAACATATCCGTGCAAATACCCTCCGCGAGCCCTCAGTCGCCCCTCCCCTCCTCGCCATCGCAACCACACCATAATCACACACTCGGCGGCTTCCTGCACACCATCCGGGCGACACCGTCGCTGCGGCTACGCAATGGCGGTAGCAACCCTGACAGGCGGAGCGGCGCTGACATGGCCGGCCCGCTCCCGTCTCCATCCATCTCGCGCCGACCACGCACGGGCGGGTCGACGACCTCGACCGCAGAGACCACGCATACCCACGAGACCATACCCTCTGTGCCGTCCTCGCCCGTCCCGTCCAAAGGCTACGCGTTCCCGAATGGCAATGCGACGCCGACAAAGGACAAGGAGCGCGGTGCCGAGAAGAAGCCGTGGTTCAGGAAGAAGAGCTCGCGCCAGGACATACTGCCCGCCCCGATGTCACCCATCATGCCGCGCCTGGGCAGGCGCGGGTCCGAGGCTGCTATCTCGGACACGTCCTCTCCGATAGGGTCGCCCGTCATTCCCTCCGCTTCAATGCCGTCTGACCCTCCATTATCGCCGGCGACGCACAAGAAGTCGTCGCCGGAGCTATCGTGGAGCATCAAGCGCGACAAGCGCGGCTCTGCACATGCGAAGCTCCCTCCTCGGCCGTCAACTGCGGGCGCGACGATGACGTCTTCGTCTTCAAGAGGATTCGGCTCGAGACCTTCCTCTAGCGTTGGTATGCCCCCGCCACTACCGCCCCTGCCTGGGTCGCCTACCTCTCCTGTAAACGGGTCCGATCAGGCTTCGCACGTCAAGGGCAAGGAACGTGAGATGGGTGAGACTAGCCATCCTCCACTGCCCACCCCTTCGCCCTCCGAGACCGGGACACCGCGCGAACGCAGACAGTCCACTCCAGCTCCTCCCCGGCTCTCCCAGTCCGAATCGCAATACTCGCACTCGAACGCACGGAACTCGCAGCACGGCCATGCGCATGCCGATAATTACCCGTTCGTGCCTACACCGCAGGGCGTCGTCGGTCTCGGCTTCTCGCCGTCATACGGGAGCGCGGGGAGCGGGAGCATCGCGGACACGCCGATGCCCCCAAGCCATAGCAGCAGCAGCTCGAGCTCGGCGACGGGGAACTGGAAACGCGCGACGAGGAAGCTGAGCTTCACGGCGCCCATGTTCGGGATTGGGAAGAAGGACAAGAGGGACAAGGACGCGCCGCCGTCGGCGTTCGGACGGTAGCGTCCCATCCTGCCTGCTGCATATATTACTTGTTACTGCCCCGGTGCTCTGGTATGTATAGAGTCTCGCTCGCGAAAAGTACTCCACAGTATAGCTTTTCTTGTGCATGCCCATGCTCGCGGACACATCATCCCCATCTCCTCCCATCCATCTGTGTTTCTGTGCCTTATGCTTGTTTCTGCTACTAGTATTTCTGCTGTTGCTCTTGCTATCTACATGTATGTGCGCGCGGCGCGTTACGCGGTTCCGGTATGGTATCCGTTATTGGTGTAGGTATACCGTACATCCTCCCACACTCGCTCAATCTCTCCCTCACCTCATCTCACACTTGATGTCTTTTTATCACCTTCGCCCTTCGCTGCACACTATCCACGGTCCATAGCCCATACCTACGCCCATATATTCCCCATCCTCGCGACGCCATACGCATACTTACTTATCTCTCCCTCTC